AAACAGTGAGACCAAACAGTTCTGTTCAATGATCCAAAAAAACTCCGTAATATCATTGTCTATCTTATACACTTAAATATACATGCAGTTATATCATTTAAAGCACTTTCTTTTCCTCTCTTTTGTACAATGACTATTACACATTTTGGGTTTTATTGCTCCCACAGTTCTTATTACTTTTTTGGAAGAGAGTAAAACCAAATGTGACATAACAGAACAGAGTCGGTCAAATCAAAAGGGTGGACATAATAGATAATGTAAAAACATAATACAAGGTGATCAACAATGGTTACCATAATGCCTCCCGCTATCTTTAATAGAATTGCCTATATCATCAGTTATAATAAAATTGAATAAAACAGTAAAGAACAAAACCAATAAAACCAAAACATTGGAGACATTACAGGTCTTCAAAGGTAGATAATAGTCAACCAGAATGGGCGTCATAATGAATTCCACTATCTTCACAGCTGTTGCCTATACTTTCGAACCTGGTACTATCACGTTTTGCTTTATTCTGATTAATGGTACTTGCTCTATTCAATATTCTGTTTTGATAAGTTCTATAATGTTCTGTATTTCATTTTATTTTGATATACATGATTGAAAGAACAACTATTGTAAAAATAACAAAATATACTGTGATACCTATTACTGTTATCCCGGTGACCTGCCGTGAAGTTCTGTACCAATTTCACTACATGGTCTCAGTTGGCTTTATTCTGTCTTGTTCTGTCGTATTTTACTACTTTCAAAATAAAAAAAAAAAATTAAAAAAGAAATATTCATTGAGTACTGCTTAAAGTAGAAAAATTGGAAAAAGTCTACCTACCTATCACTGAGATGGCTTAAGTTAATTATGATATGTCCATATGATATGTTCAACAGCTACCATTAAAAAGGGATGTTGAATCTTTGGTACAGAAAATATCTACAGCATATTACTAGATGCAAAACTACATTTATAGCATGATCTCATTAAAACAAAATGTACCTACACAAAGAAACATTTTGAATGGAGTTTATGATAGTATCTCTAAATAATATTCTTTTATGAGATTAAAAAAAAAAAACAATTCTTTTTTTTTTTTTTTTTTGTGGTTTTCGTTTTTATCGGTACCAGGAATCGAACTCACGACTGCCTGCTTGCAAGGCAGGCGCTTATGCCGCTGAGCTAAATCCCCAGCCCCTAAAAAAACAATTATTTAAGCTTTCCTGTATTCAGTGACATTTGTGTAACAAACATTTCTTTGTAAGCAAGAAATCAATAAAACTAACAAAATAAAAATACTTACCTCTCCATGATATCTCGTTAAAGAAGTGATGAGAAAAGTAATACGGAAACGCAAAAAGTTCTGTTTTGAATACTTTTTATGATTTGATTTTGTAATTTGAACAACTATATGTAATTTATCAACTAGTGATATTTTACTGTTTTTTTGAAATTTTGTATTATTTCTACTATTTTTTCTGTTTTGCTTTTTTTGTCTAAATAAAAAAAAAGTCTATAAAAAAAATACACAGTGAGACCCTGTGTTGCAAAAAGAAAAAAAAAAATGAAAGAAAGGAAAAAAAAAAAAAACCAAGACTGACTGTTATGCATCTGTTATGGACTGAATTAGCTCCCCAAAAACTCACAGGCAGAACTCCTAAACCTAAGTGCGAAAGGAGGTTTTTTTTGTTTGTTTGGTTTTTTTTTTTTGTCTTTTTCCTTTTTATTGGTACCAGGGATCGAACTCATGACTTGCAAGCAGGCGCTTTATGCTGCTAAGCTAAATCCCCAGCCCTGAAACAGTTCTCTAGGAAGAGGACAGCTGCACTACATAAAAAGGACCTGTCCACGCGGCCTTTGGGCTCACACAGGCAACAGCAACCTATCTCTAGGCTGCCCTACAGGTTTCAGTTTGCTGGGCTTACAAATGGTTAGTTCCTCTCCTTAAACCATCCTCTGTAGATGCACACATATGTGTACATCCCATTAGCTGTTTTCTTGGAGAACCCCAACACACACGCTACTGTAACATCTTGAAGAGGCTCGAGTTTTCACTAAGATAAAGCAGAAACATCCTGAAAATGTCTAAGCTAACTGATTAATAGGTCATAAGGATCATACATGCTTCCACTTTTAAAATACTATTTGTAATGAAGTCCCCATCTCTTTTTCATCAACTCTTCTACTCCCTAAAGGATACTGAAAACTACAGAAAACATAGGAATGAATTTTAAAATCAATGACAAATGTCTCTAAGTCAAAGAGTGATGACTAAGAATATTTACAGCAAATATAGCATGTATTATAAATAAGTATTATACTGATGGATCAAATACATAGAAAAGACTAATCACAAGATGCAGAAATAGATATGAAAGTCTTCAGTCTCAATAATTATTAAAAACATGCAAGTAAAAGATACTGTTTTCTAACTTGAATTAGATAAGGATTAAGACCTCAATAACCAAATACTTAAATAGTTCAAGCAGAAACTTCAGCATGTACCTAATTTCCCAAACACAACAAGCAAGTGGAGTGGCTGTTTGTATTGATAAATACAGATGAGGACGGATGGCAGAACAGAAGACAGCCTGGGACTCACTGCTGAGAACAGACTCATCCTGCATGCCGAGGGCAGCTGGCTAGCATCTGTAAACAAATCAATCTGAGAAAACCCCAGCAGCAGAGTGGAAAATGGGGGGCACCGAGGGGAAGTTTTTAGAATCAAGAAGTTCAGTTAGAAGCCCAGTGAGAGACTACCATGGCTTGATTTCAGGCTATGAGAGCGAGTGGCAGGGAGATCAGAGGCACAAGTGTCTGTGCTTGGCAGCTTAACAAGATCTAGGACCCTGTGGGGAGAAAGGGACAATAAAAGCACCCAGCTGTCATTCACAGTGACAAGGAACATGGGAAAACAGATTCAAAGGACGAACAGAAAATGGACTTTGTTTTGGACACTTTACATTCAAGGGAATACTGCAGATGCCCAGAAACATCACATTCAAATCTAGGCCTGGGAGAGAAGTTTAAAACAAACATCAAACTGTACTTTAAATTACTCAAAAATAAGAGCGGAGGAGCGTTTAAGTAATAAAGAGAGCAAATCAGAAGGAAGGAGCAGGAGAGGCATAGTGAAGCATCGCGAATATTTAAGACCAAACAGATAAACACGGAGGTGGAGATATTCAATTTAACAATTATTATTGCATAAAGGTATCTAAGAAGGAAGTTTCTAAAGTATGAAGAGTTTGTCCCTTACTGAAAAAGTGAAACACCGAACTGGGTGTGCTGGCACACACCTGAAATCTCAGCACTTGAGAAGCTGAGGCAGGAGGAGGACCATAAATTTGAGGCCAGCCTATACTAAAAGTGAGTCCCTACCTCAAAAAAAAAGAAAAAAAAAAAAGTGAAACACAGAATTACCATACAATCCAAAAATTCTAATTCTGGATACACACTCCAAGAATGGAAACAAAGACTATAAACAGCTACATGTAAACAATGGTCATAAGAACATACTCTCAAGAGCTTAAAGGTGGAAACAACCCCGTGTCCATAAAAAAGTAAATCAGTCACATGCAATGGAATATTATTCAGCTGTGAAAAGGAATTAAGTATGATTCATGCTACAGCATGGATGTCCATAAAAAAGTAAATCAGTCACATGCAATGGAATATTATTCAGCTGTGAAAAGGAATTAAGTATGATTCATGCTACAGCATGGATGAACCTCAAAAATATGGGGAGTAAGGCAGACAAAAAAGGACAAGTACTGCATGATTCTAAATATATAAGGGATCTGGAATAGACAGAAAGGGGCTAGAGGGAGGTGGGGGAGTCACGGTTTAATGGCTCCTGACTTTGTTTGGAATGATGAGTTTTAGAAATCAGTGGTAGTTATGGTACACAATACTGTGATGTACTTAATGCCACTAAGTTCTATACTTTGATTTAAATTATAAACTTTGAGAATTTCTTTGTACCAGGAATGGCACTTAGGTCCCAACCTCCTGCTTGCCAGGCAGCACTTGTGCCACTGAGCTACATCTCCGGCTGTAAACTTTGTAGTACACACATTTTACCATAACAAAAAAAGAGCAAAGTAAAACTTTTTGAGGGAAATGAAGTGCAAGCAACAGTGGAGAAACTGCCACTTTTTCGTGACCTTCCCCTTGAAATGCTCAACGGATGCACACAGTATTACTAGTTCCTATTCTTCTTTAAGGCAGACTGTCAAAATGCAGTATTGCCGAATCAAAAATCAAGAAACGAGTTTAAAAAAAAAAAAAAAAAAAAACTGAAGAGTCCGTCCCAAACCTGTGATGTGGCAGAGGCCAAAACACCAGAATATGTTGGTGGGGGCAAAGCAGTGGTGCGAAGCATTTTCAGGGTGACACCACTACATATTTGAAAAACCAGGACACACTGCTGATCTCATCTCGCCAAGTGAAACCGAGGGCCAGGCCGAGCTGTCTTTGGTGAGGAAAGTGAAGGCGCTGGTCCGCGGCGGCACGTGAATATCCATCCCCCCCAGGCTGAAATCTGACAGCCCTGGAGGCCGGCGCCTTGCTTTTTTATATTTACCCAAATTGTACACATTCAAGTGGAAAACTGCAGAATAAATGGCCAATTTCTTCAAAGAGGAGATCGCCCAAAAAAGGGGAAATTTAAACGCCTATCAACCAGGCGTCACGCGGGGATCCGGGTGAAATCCCCGGCGCAAAGCAACCACGAGAAACAGACTTTTTCTCCTTCCTCGGAGAAACCAGAGCACAGCCTGAGCTCGCTTCAGTTCTGTGCATGCCAGGAATGCCCCACACTTATTTCCGAGCACAATTTGTTTTCTTCAGGACTGAAGAACACCGCTCGCGACCTCATTTTTCCGGCCAGGAAACGCGGCAGTGGAGGAGGACGCGAGTCCGGACCAGGAGCCGACTCGCTGCCCGCCACCTCATCCGCCGACGGACGCCGCGCGGGGTCGAGCGCCGCCGACAGCCCGCTACTCACCGCGATGCCCGCAGCCCAGGAACGCGGTCTTCCGGGCCTTGGGCTGTAGCATCTCCCCTCTCGCCACAGCCCTGGGCCGGGCGGCACGAGCCGCCGCAGGCGGAGAGGCCAGGGTTAGTGTAGCGGAGTAACCCGGCAGCAGAAAGTGGTGCGGGCACGGGGCGGTGAGGCGACCCCGGGCCTCGCCCAGTCCCCTAGCCGCTCCTTTGCTGAAGGGCCGCGCCACCTTGGGCGCCACGTCACGGGAGATCCGCCCCCTTGTGCTGACGTCATCGCCCGCTGCGCTGACGTCACCATCCTGCGCGCGGACCTGATGCTGGTCGGGCGGGCGCTGACTTTGGGATTTTTGTCTCCTGATACAAAGGAGCGCTTTACACCCACTTGAAAGATGTTCACCTTCGCCTTTGGTGAGAAAAATTTAGGCTACAGTGTAAAGAAAGCAGCTGTGTGAAACTTCACCCTTTGGCGACGCCCCACAAAACGGATAGGGTTCGACCTTCGCGTTGCAGATGAGTGCCACCTAGTCAGGAATTTCTAACATTGCTTTTTTTTTTTTTTTTTTTTTTTTTTTTTTTAGGAAATGCATTGTCAGAAATTCGAGGAAAGAAAAAACAGCACCTGACCTTTTGAGCACTGACCCTTGAGCAGAACGGCGCAAACCACGTGATCTTGCTGGGCTTCTGGATTAGGAGCTCTGCCAAGTACTTGCCAGCGCTGTCCCATGTCTGTTGTGCCGCTGTGTCATCCAGGACGCCTCTTAGGGCTGAGGACTCGTTTTCCCAGGTGTTGGCTGTGTCATCAGCTCATGACACACAGCCATTGGGTCTTTGTGCGGCCCTTGCCCACAGTCAAACAGGTGCCAGGTGGAATTCCTATTGTTTCTATCTCAACATGGTCCTGATAGAATGACATGTCTAAATCAAAGGCACCTTTCCTTTTACCTCACCTGGATCCTTAAATATGACAGTGCCATGTCTCCTCATAACATCTTGTCTCTTTGTTTTTCCAGTCTAACATACGTGCATTCACCAGTGAAGTTGTCCTGGCTAAAACACCTGGCACTAGCTTCTACCTGGTCAACCATCATCCTTTCGACTCCCCTAGACCCTAGTACAGCGCCCTCAGCCAGCAGGAATTAGTTAAAGAGAGAAATCTTCACCCCTTTTCATAATAATCATAAGACGGGATATGAAAGGGTTTGGGGCCAGGCCAGACACTGCAGCTGATAAAGCCAAAGAGCTCCTATCTCCCCCACCCTTAGGAATCTACCTCTTGCGCCACACTAAGACCAATGGGCTACCTGTGCATCTCTAATGCCCCCATTAGGTTCCACCCCAAGCCGAAGCTACTTATGTTCCTCACATGTTCCACGGAGAGATCGCAGGGATCGCCGGCCCCAGGGTGGAGATGCCACGCCCCAGGGGGTCGGGGGGGGGTGTCTCTCCCCGCATTCCCAAAATAAAAGTCATTTATATTTCATACTTTTTATCTTTTTAGCCGCCGCGATCCACCCCCCCCCCACAGTTCTATCACCTATGATCCCGCCCTGCCCTGTGGAGCACAGTTAGCCTTAGATGGATTTAGCATCTATTTTAAGTGTGGGTTTCTCTTGCAAAGGATCACCAAATCTCCTGCAATGGTGGCAGTTCACATAAAACATCGGTTTATAATTTGGGCTCCACGAAGCCAGATAGTTGCTTAAAAAACTATCTATGGTGGTGGTGAGGAAACTAGGCTGAAGTCTACTAGATACATTTAAGAGTGATGTAAAAAGTTTATTCAAATATGTAAATATATGCCAGGAAGTACAAGAATTTACAGTGAAATATTTTACACTGCCCAAATCAATTAACAACTACTTCACAAAGCTGTTCATCAATAAGTTGTAGAATTCACACACCAAAAAAAATGGATAGATTCCTAGATGAATGAATTGCCAAAACTGGACCAAGGCAGAGTGTGGTGTTGCATGCTTGTAATCCAGCACTCAGGAGGCTGAGGCAGGAGAATTGCTGAGAATTGGAGGCCAGCCTGGGCTACATAGTGAGTTCAGTCTGAAGGAAGACTAGTCTGAACGATGTAGTGAAGCCCTCAAAAAACAAAAACATACAATAAAAAAATACTGAACCAACAAGAGTTTAAAACTCTGAATAATCCAATACTAGGTATTGGGGCTCTGGCCCAGTACTACCAATCGCCTGCTCAGAGGTCTAATGATAGAATAAAACAGAGGCAAAACATTTTGGTTACAAGGCACACCAGAATGGTCAAGCACAGTGACAAGCCAGGCCACACGAGTGGTCTTCGGCTTGATTGGGGGTGTCCTGGTGGGCTGCAGGATGCTGTAGGGTGAACCACTGACACAGTCAAGGTTCAGAGATCGAGGAGCAATGCACTTTTGGAAAAGCACGCAGGAATAGATCAGGATTAATTAGTAACCTGACTGTCTGCTAACTGCCACTACTGAGCTAGAAGGAATTGGCAGGAGTCAGGTCCTCAGCTGCCGTTATCTTGCTTTGAGGCGCCAGGACTTCACTGACTGCTTGCTGGCCTCAGCTGTAGCCATGGGCTTAAAGACTAATCGGTCCTCAAGCCAGCTGGGGGTCTCACCACAAGACAGGTAGGAATAGAACAGACTCTCTATTTATTTTTGGGCCAATTATTAATATTTATTATTGTGTGCTGTACCACATCAAGCTGGTTCTCAGCAGTAGCCAATGAAATTAAAGAAGTAAAAAACCTACTAACTAAGAAAAGTCCAGGTCCAGATGGATTCTGCTAAATTCTTAAAAAAAAAAAAAATACTCCCTAAGGTCTTTCATGAAATTGAAAGGGTAGGAGTATTCCCTATAGTCATTCCTGGAAGCTACTATTACCCTAATTCTAAAACCAGACAAAGATCCATCTGAAAAAGAGAAGATAGATACAAAATGAATATGGGTGCTGTGAGTTCAAGGCCAGCCTGAACTGCATAGTGAAACCCTGTCTCCAAAAACCAAAAACAAAAACAAAAAACCCCCCCAAAAATCTCCACCTTATCTCAATCTGATAAAAGCCACTTATGGCAAGTCACTATGGCCAACATCATATTAAATAAGGAAAAACTGAAAGCCTCTCTTCTATAAGGATACCACCATCACCACTCCTGTTCAAAACATTAGCCAGAACAATTGGGCAGGAAAAAGAAAGAAAAGGGATATGTATAGGAAAGGACAAAATCAATTTATCGTTAGTTGCAGATAATAAGATCCTCTACACAGAAGAAAAAGAAACCCACCAAAAGATTGTTAGAATTAGTAACCAAATTCCACAATGTAGCAAGACATAGAATCAACACACAAAAATCAATAGCATTCATGTACACTAATAATGAATCCATTAAGAAAGAAATTACAGGGGAAAAAAGCACTCATCCTAGTACAAAGAAAAAATTGACAACTTAGGAATTATTCTAACTAATGAAGGAAAGACATTTCTACAGTGAAAACTACAGTCCTCTGGAAAAGTAAATAAAACAACTTCAAAAAATGGGAAAATCTATATATCCCTGTTCCTGGATATATAGTCTCAATAGTCAAGATAGCCACACTTCCAAAATTGATCTACAGATTTAACACAATCCCAATCAAAGTACCAATGTCATGCTTCATAGAAATGGAAAAAACAATCCTCAAATTCCTACCGAACCAGGAGAAACCCATAATAGCAAAAGCCATCCTTCGTAACAAGAGTAAAGTGGGAGGCATTGCAAGCTCAGACTTGAAGGTATAATACAAAGCTACAATGTAAAAACATTATGGCACTTGTAGAAAACCACGCATACAGATCAATGGAACAGAACAGAGGATGCAGAAACAACTCCAAACACAATCTTTACTGGAGGAAAGAGCATAACTGACCACCCACATGCAGAAGATTTGAATCTAGGCCCAGGTCCTTTACTGTGTACTAAGGTAAATTTAAAATTGATCAAAGAACTAATTGTTAAAACAGAAACAACCTGCTGGAAGACAAAAAAGCAACTTTCTGAAAAGAACTCCAGTTGCATAGAAAATAGTACTGAGACTCAAAACATGGGGTCATATCAAATTTAAAGTTTCTGCACAGAAAAAGAAACAAACCACGGAGTTTAGAGACAATCTACAAAATGGGAAAAAATTTCCAGCTGTTCCTCAGGTGAAGGACTAGTGTGTAGAATGTATAACAACTCAGAAGAATTAGACATCCCCAAGTAAAAGACCCAGTGAAAAAACTGGCAAAAGAAATGAATAGGTACTTCACAGAAGAGGTACAAACGGCCAATAAACTGAAAAATTGCTCGACATTACTGGCATTGGAAAAATGCAAATTAAAACAACACTGAGATACCATCTCACTCCAGAAAGAATAGCCAACATCAGGAAATCAAATTATAATGGATGTTGGCCAGACTGTGGAGATAAAAATGACCCTTCTATACTGTTGGTAGGAATGTAAACTTGTACAGTACGCATGTGTACAGTGGCATGATTCCTAATAGCTATCTTGGAAGTGTCCTATATGTCCATCAACAGATGGACAGAGCATGTACACACTCTACTACTCTACCATAAAGATAGATACACCTGAATCATTTGTAGAAAAAGATGCACCTTGAGACCATAATGTTAGATGAAAGAAATCACACACACAGCTTAGATATCAAATGGCTTCTCTTATAGGAGGAACCCAAAGTAAAATAAAGAGGAAAATAAAAGATAACAGGAAGTAGGGAGGTAGATTTTTCTTAAAGATAAAGGGGGCCAAGAGATGGAGGGGGTGGCAGGGAGGGAAGCAGATGAGGAAAGGAATTGCTGGGACCACTGGTGCCTGCCTGTAAACCCAGCATTCAGGAGGCTAAAGCAGGAGGATCATCGTGAATTCAGGACCAGCCTGAACTACACAGTGAGGCAGTCTCAAAACACCCCTGCCCCAAAATAAATTTAGATGTGAGGAAGACATCTGTCACCACCTTGATCGCCAGGTTGATGTGACCGATTGGGCCGACTAGGCGGATGGCCTCTTCCTTCTTTACCAGTCCCTGTGCATCCCTCCCAAAGCGACCACCCCACAGAAAGAGGCCCTTCCCGCCCTCAAGGAATAGGAGGAGCTGTGCTCCCGCAGGGAGCCACCAAACAATCCCTCAGAATGTGTTCTCTATATATACCAAGTCCACACAAGGAGTATAAACAGGAAGTACTGGAAAAATGTACTCAAACAAAAAAACTAAGACATAATATTGTGACATTTCTTTTTCTTTTCTTGGTATGGGGATCAAACTCAGGACCTTGCGCTTGCCAGGCAGGCCTTTATGCTGCTGAGCTAAATCCCCAGCCATACCATGGTGTTTCTTTGGAGCAGCCACATCAAGCCATTAAAAGCTCAAATGACCCTGCACATTTGTCACTTATTGGCCCCAGTTTTTTTCATGTTTATCTACTAATAGTTTTTTGTATAGCATGTTGCTAAATAGACCGGTAGAAAGAGATTATAAACTAGTTATTTTCATTTACATGTATGTATGATCTCCAAAACATAAATTCAGCAAGGGTGAGCATTCTGGCGCCTGGCCCCTGCTGCCTTCCCAGCCCATTGTTGACTGAATGGGTGTAATAGACAAGACAGACTGTCTGTTGTGGGCACTCATTTATCAAAGGACCATGCTTGGAGATCCTGTCAGAAGTCTCCCCCATTTCTTTTTCTTTTTCCTTTTCGGTATGGGATTGAACTCATGACTTCACCTTTGCCAAGCAGGCACTCACACCGCTGGGCTAAACCCCGGGCCACTATTCCCCATTTCTTTCACTGCTCTTTTCAATAGGTTCTTCTTTTATTTTCTTTCACCTGCCTAACCACACTCACCAGGGTGAACTCCAAAGCACCACGTTAGCCATCTGGATGGACACCAGCCAGACACAGGAGGGCTCAGACATGAAAAAAGCAAAATCAGAGGGAGGGCTCAGACAGACAGGACAGATGAAGGAGCAACTTACAGGACGCAACCGAGACATACATCAAGTGGATGGTACATCGGAGATTTGGGAACCCAATCAGGCCAGCTGTGGCTCCAGCTTCTATGCTGGCAGCAGGAAATTAGTTTGGTCTGACTCAGCCAAGGTCAGAATGTGCCAAGATGGCCCACTGTGAGCACATCAGCGGGGCTGCTTGGAGTGGAAGTCAGGTTGGCCAAAGCTCCAGAGCGGAACAGGTCCCTCTTGTGAAGCTACCAGGACCAATGAGTTTGGCAAATAATTGCACACAGCACACTTTCCCTGGATTGATTATACACTTGAGTCTCAACTGTGAGACAGCTTATGTTTGTAACACTCAGGATCCTGCCATCCCAGGAACTCAGCAGCAATAAGCACCAGAAGATTAGGACCTGTCATTGAAGGAAGAAAACCAGTGCGCCCAAGGTAGGCCATTCTGGCTGTATTTGTTACTGCTTTTCACATAATTCCACAGTGTTGCAAACTTGTCCTCTGGTGGCACCGTCTTGAAGGACTAGGGGATTTCTCAGCTATTCATGAAAATGGTTTGTTATCCTTTCATCAGCTGTACATAGATGCCTCCAGTTCTGGGAAGATGGTATCCAAATACCACTGGAAGGACCTGCAGCCCAACTGTTTCCTTAACTGAACACGTTCACTAATGTTTCCGTATGTCATAGACTTCAAATCAGGGTTTCGAAGAAAAAACTGCTCCTAGATGAAAATAAAGAGTCGTTTCATTAAGCCAAACAGATCTTTAGTAATCAAATCATGATGTCAGACATAGCAGCATATATTGTCATCATCCGACTGAGGAGTCCCTTCCTTTTGTGTAGGGAACAAGACCAGCGACACCAATGGGACCTCAAACCAACTCAGCAATCAATACCTGGTCACTGTCACGCCAGGGCACAGGGCAGGTGATAAAGGGAGTCCAGGGGAAGTGGGTCTTGCTTCTCAGGAGCCAAAGAAATCAAGCAAAGTGGCCTCTTTATCCTATTTTCACAGTCAAGGACCGATTGCCCAATTTTCATCTGTGCGTTCTCAATGCCTGCCACTTAATATTGTAACACTACTGAAAGAGAGGGAACCAGCTTATCAAAGTCGTGGGCCACCTGGTTCCCAGGGTGGACTGGTGTAGGACATGGGCCAAAGGTATGGGGAGGTATCACCATTTTGGCAAAGGGAGGTGTGGGGGACCTGTGGACAACATATTTGCATTCAAAGCCCTCTCTCACACTACATTTTACAATGTGCTGTGCCATACAACCTATTGATTTTCTTTTCTATTTTTCCTGGTACTGGGGATTGAACTCATGACCTTGTGCTAGCCGGGCAGGCACTTGTGCCACTGAGCTAAATCTCCAGCCCCAACTTGTTGATTTTCTGCCTAATGCTATGTGCTTTTAAATTAACTTTTTGGCATCTTATCCTTTGCTAAATTGGCCAGGCCACTCAGGAATATTGATTGGTTCAGCTGCTCAGATCTATGATGAGGACCCAAAGTGGGGGGGGGGGGTCAAGAAATGTAAAAATGAGATTGAGATCTCTCATAACAAAATGAAATGGTAACTTGAAACAGTGGGATATCATTTTAGCCTATCATTTTAGAAGAAACATACCAATTAATTATAACCAATGTGGGGAGATCAGCATGGTCATATACATTTGATTTCAATGTAAACAGCAAAGGGACAGTTTTAATGTTATCAGGATTTTTTTTTTTTTTTTGAGACAAGGTCTAGCTATGCATCCCAGGTTGGCCTTGAACTCGAGGTGATCCTCCTGTCTCAGCCTCACAAGTGCTGGGATTACAGTGTGCCACCATGCCCAGGTCTCATCAGGATTTTAAATGCATTAACTCATGCCCTAGACATTCCATATCTTGAGATTTGTTCCAAAGATATATTTCTATAAATGTCCCAAAATACATGTGTAAAAGATGTTCATTTCAGTGCTGCCAAGAACAGCAGTTGGAATGGTTAGCATGTTTACCAGTGGGTCCTGTTTATCAGCAGAATCAACTTTGGTGCCTCTGTTTCAAGGAAATATAGAAAAGAGGATTTTAAAAATATATTCTGGTTTTGAAAGATAATCCAGAAGTATGTTTTCAAAAATAAAAACAATTGAAGAACACTTCAAAACAGACTATTAAGTGAATCTAGTCATGGAAAAGCAGAATATTTTCCAGTGTTCCTGTGTGTTAATCAGCAACCATAAAAACTAATTTAGTAATTACGTCTGAGGACTGGAGCCCAGGGTTTAGAAAACTTACTTTTGCTTTTATGCACATTACTTCAGGACTGTTAAAACTTCAAAATGAGGATAGTTCAACATTTTCTAAAAGTATTTTTAATCAATAAATTTAATAAATGTACAAAAAGTACATAAAATATAAATGTGCAGCTTAATGAATAGTTGAGAAATCAAACACAGTAACTCTAGCTCAAGAAATGAACATGACCAAGGTCCCAGAACTTTCCTTATTGTAAATCTGTCTCGTTTTACATGCCATCTCTTCTTGTTATTTTATCTTTTGAGACAGGATCTCACTATGTAGTTTAGGCTGGCCTTGAACTCACGGTGATCCTCCTGCCTCAGCCTCCCGAGTACTGGGATTACAGGCGTGTGCCACTACACCTGGTTTGAATGCTATTGTGATTATGTTTTTGCCTTCTTCTTCATTTTTTATAGTTTAACTTTACTCATTTTAACTTTATAAAAAGGGAACAATATCCTATTTACTCTTACATCTTTAAGAGTCACCTATGCTAGAAGAGAAGGTAGAGGGGCTGGGGATTTAGCTCAGCGGCATAAGCGCCTGCCTTGTAAGCAGACAGTCGTGAGTTCAATCCCCGGTACCGATAAAAAAGGAAAAAGACAAAAAAAAAAAAAAAAAAAAAAGAAGAGAAGGTAGAAAACATGGAGGCAGACTTTTTGGAGCTAAGAAAGGGAATCCGAGGAAGCAGGGAGAAGGAATGAGAGGGCAAGTGGATCTAAATGATAATATTCCCCAAAATGGCTATTATGTATTGCAAATAAATACCAATTTAAAGAAAGATTCACCCTTGCTGCTGTTGTACACTTATCTATAACTGGTGAGTTTCATGGCAGTGTAGATTACAGTGGTTAAATATGCCACCCGGACCCATTCTATTCTAGATGAAGCTCTGGGTCACACTCAGCTTTGGGGAACACACACAATGCTGTTTACACTCTTGTCTCTGTGTCCAGTGCCCAAACTCATTAGAAGCAAATTTAAAGATTTAGTCAGGCATGGAAGCTCATGTCTGCAATCCCTGCACTCTGGGAGGCAGAGGCAGGAGGATGGAAAGCTCAAGCCCCATCTAGACAATTTAGCGAGACTCTGTCTCAAAATAAAAAATAAAAAAACAGCGGGAATGTAGTTTTGTGTGAAGGTCCTGGCCTCAATTCCAGACCTGAAAAAAATAAAATAAAAATGTGATTTCCATATTGGGATGGGGCAGGAAGCGGCTATTTACTTGGGAAATTAGGGGCCAATTCTTTGGGAAGAAAATAGATTTGGGGGGGGGTCTATTTATCACGTTGGTTCGTTTTTTTCTGAGAAACCTGGATTTCCCTAAAAATTAAAGTTCGGTAAGTAAAGTACAAATAGACCAGCTTGTAACTGAGAACACAGGTGAGAAGTTGAGGGGTGCTTTGTGTTAGCGCCTCTGGGGGCAGCAGGAGGCGTCTATCTCCCCAGCAAGCCCCTCAGCTGTGTGCTCCCCTCGCTCCCCACCCACGGGGCACCCATCCCCCACCTTGTATTCATCCAGCCAAACGTGCACCAATCTCAGGTGGTTCCGGGCCACAGCTTTGCTGAGAGCGCTGTCAGGTTTCGAATATAACTTTGTGATGTGTCCCACTCGGGAGCAGGGGATTATCAGGAGTTGGCCTCCACACATCCAAATCTAGACAAGAGAAAAGCAGCACGGGTGAGAGTGTCTCTGCTGGTCACAGGCCCACGGGGATGTGTTTGCAGACGTGTATTAAACTTCTTTCACTTAATCCTCACAGCAGCCACGGGGCGGATGAGGAAGCCAACGCGAAGAGCTGAGAAGCTTGCCCAGACAGACCTGGCAAGTGGCAGAGGACAGGGTTCAAATTAAGAAAGTCTCTTCTGAGGGGCGGCACCTTGAGTGCCAGTGCCCACTCTCACACTAACTCTTGCCTGGTGCGAGTGACTCCAGAAATGCTAGTCCTGCCTGGATTCAGTTATTTGTGCATCCTTTTGCACTTAGAACATAACTCTCATTATTTTTCTAATTTTATTTTATATTGGCTCTTGCTATGTAGTTTAGGCTGGTCTTGGCCTTGAGGGGATTCTCCTGCTGCAGCCTCCCAAGGACTAGAATTACAAGCATGTGCCACCGCTGGCTATAAAGGCAACTACTTAAAACAACACAATCTGAATTACCCTTAGTGAAAGTTCCAGATTTTCTCCTCCCCAAAGATCCATGTCCTTGTCGTACTCTCCAAGTTCATAAAAAAAGGGCCTATGCATGGCAAAAATTCCTCCAGCCATGGCAGGCGACCTGGTATGGGGACACGAAATGTCATAAACTGATGCCACAGAGACAGTAATCATGAGTTTTCTTAGACATTGTTTGACTATACATGAAATTTATAGGTAAAAATTAGAAAACAGGCATATCAATACAATATCTTAAAAATACATCTAGGTATATGAAAATGATACATTAAAAACCACAACTATATAAAAGTATTGGTTCATTTAATCCCCCAGGCAGTTCTGAGAGGTGGATCGAACTATTATTACTATTGCCATTTTCCAGCTGAGGACTACTGAATCTGAGAGAGGCAACTGACCCCAATTTTTTTAAATCGGTAGCAGGGATCGAACTCAAGACTGCCTGCTTACAAGGCAGGTGCTTATGCCGCTGAGCTAAATCCCCAACCCCTTTTTTTGGTCTTTTTGAGATAGGGTCTCACTTGCAACGACCCTCCCGCCTCAGCCTCCTGAGTGGTGGGATTACAGGAGTGCGTCACCCCCTCTCCTGACCCAAATCTTAATATGCGGTTCTAGAGCTGCTATGCACTTTGCCGTGTGTGTAAACAGCGCCTCCTTTTGGTGCAATTGTATATGGCAACCTAAACAGCTCAAAGTGATGGTCTTTCACCGAAATGAAATGCTGTTCCCCAAAATACTGACATCTGCAAAGCATTGCAGGTCTCAGAGAATCAAAGCTCATAGATCATCCCCATCTGTGGAAATACGTGGCAAATGACATTCACATAGACTAAGTGGACAAAGACTCACTATTGGTGTTCAGGCTGAGGCAAGGCGGGGGTGGTTAGGAATGGTGTTCCCACAGCACCCAGGAGCCGAGACCCAAGACTACCCTGAAAAGGAAAGCTTGCGGGGTAGCGGAGGGGTCGCGTGGGAATCAGTGCGTGCTCACTGCAAGGCCAGCGAGAGGGCAGCTCGGAGCCCGGGGTGGGCGTGGACGCCCGAGCCACATCGGCGACAGCGAGGAGACGGTGTACAGCAGTGAGAAGCTGCAAGGGACGGAGAAGGGCGTCTTGTGGAGGTTTCGGCTAGTGAGGGGCTGGCGCGGGGTGGGGTAGAGGGCCGCTCCGCAGAGGACCCCGCCGGAGCCCGATGGCCTCGGAGCGCCCCCGTGCGGCCGCGCTCAACTACGGCCTGTCTGATCTTTCTCAGGCTCCTGCAGAAAGTGCTGTATCATTTTTTTCCCCATTTAATGTAATTTCTTCCTTGAATAAGGGGGTGGAGCTGCAGCTCAAAATCGCTGTCTTCAAACTTGGAACAATAAACAGAGAATTAAAAGCAAGTTGCACTGTTCTCTCACTTTCCAAGACTAACAATAGAGAAAAGTCATTCATCCCAACCCAAGACATTCCACATGGAAATCCTTGGATAAGGATTTCGTATATGAATTTTGCAAAGATACCTGCTTCCTCCAGGCCAGCCATAGCGTGGGCGTGTGATTCGTTGGTAAGACACAATTTGCCCTTGAGAACAAAATTCTAAAGATGAGTGTCAAAAATCAGTGACACTCGTGAGTTCGATCCCCGGTACAAAAAAAAAAAAAAAAAAAAAAAAAAAATCAGTGTATTACTTCCTATTCTTGTTTTCGGGGTGTTTGTTTTTATTTTTAGACAGAGTTTTTTAATATATGATCCAGACCTTGAACTCATTGTGTTGACCAGGTTGGCCTCAAACTCATGGCAACCCTTCTGCCTCAGCCTTCCAAATACCAGGATTACAGGAGTGTGCCACCATGCCTGGCATATCCCAGTTTTCTGAACGAGGGTGCAGTGCACGTTTTCAATTGAAGAAATGTAACATCTACCAAATTCTAATGTTAAAATTCAAGCTAGCATCCAAAGATAACAGCCAGACATAGCAGTGCATGCCTTTGATCCCAGCTACTCTGGAGGCTGAGACAAGAGGGTCACAATCCTGAAGCCAGCCTGGGTAACAGAGTGGAATGAAATAAAATATATTTATTTTTAGTAACCCAAGAAATGGAAGGAATAATCCCTGAGAATTAGTACTTTTTTCAAGCCACTATGCGAAGCTCACCGGATTGGGTTTGTCGGACTTCCTTCAGAGTCAGTCTCATAGGAGAAAACGCTGTCCCACTTAAACTGGAGTTTCCAGTCAAAGGCTCCCCTCACAAGTGGAGAGGGCAGGTACTGCAGGCTTATGCCGTCAATGATGTCGATGACAGGGGTCACAACAGTTCTAGAGTCCTTAGAGATGGCAGCCAGCAGGGGCTCCAGCCAGACTCTGTTGACCTCACAGTGGCTGTCCAGGAACACCAGGACTTCGCCTGGGGAGGCAAGAACAGACTCACTTCAGTACTGGGAGATGGGATGGGGTCCAGGCTCCATGTGCTGCATGTTTGGTGAGCGCTGCTTGTGTGTTTGGCTCTTCAGTTGCTTTGGGAGAAACAAGAAATTTGGGGAAAAAATCATTTTAGCTTGACCTTCAGTGACCTAGTTAATTTAACGTTTAATTTCTATGGCCAGGATGCCTAACTTTGTGCTTGTGTTGATAGGCTGTCCAACTGCTTTTATAGTCTCTCGAGTTCTAAGGAGGCTCTATTCTCCTTCAGTGAACAGAGGGAATCATGGTGGGGTCAAATTACACTCAATGGGTTCGGATTGGAAAGACCTCAAAATTCAGGGATTCCCCCAACCTTTTCTTCTGTCATCCCTTTCCCTAAGCCCCCTCATTTGATGTAAATTTCTCTACAGAATATTTGGTAAAATTCTCTTACAATCATCTTGCTTTAGAAAGCTCCTTCTCCTTTCCCAATGCACAGAGTCCAGCCTCTGGAGGCGACATTAGCCAAGCATGGTGGCACATGCCTGTGACTCCAGCTACTCCAGAGGCCGATGCAGGAAGATCACAAGTTTGAAGCCAGCCTAGGCAACATAGTGAGACACTGTCTCAAAGTAAAATGAACTGGGTGGGGTGGTACATGCCCATAATTCCAACATTTGAGAGGCCACCAAGGTAAGAGGATTGATGTGAGTTCAAGGCTAGCCCGAGCTGCATTCAAGACCAGTGAGACCCTTTCTCAAAAAACCAAAAAATTAAAAATAAAATTATCTAGGCAGGTAACCCTGTGGTAGTGCCCCTGTCCACTGCACATAAGGTCCCAGTATAATCCCACTACCACACGCACAAATACAGAGGCACCTTCAGCTGCAAGGATTGGGCTTCTGTTGCTGGGGGAAGAAGTACTGACTGCTAACATCCACTCGAGTTGTTTGTGTCAAATGAGGTCGTTCAGAGAAGACTCCATGGAGCTGATTTCAAGCAGCCAAAGTTGCCCAGCCCCTCTTCTAGGTGACTTAGGGGAGAAGTCCCCAAGCCAAGCCTCCTCCGTGTTTCCAGCCCTTCTGTAGGCACCCCATCACCACCCGCAGCACCCGCAGGAGCTGGGGCCACGGTGAGCCGTGCACTCCGGGGCTCTAGGCTGTGCCCTCCTTAGTGTCGTCTCAAACAATCCCCTTCTGCCCAGGCCCTGGAAAGATTGTCTCTCAGGAAACTGATCCCTTCCCTCTACAGTTTAAAACTCGAGATTACAGAGGAGGACTGTCTAAGGAGGGCACAGACAACCACCTGCGCCATCCTCTCTGTGAGAAGTCTCCTTGTGCGAGCATGCAAGTATGCCCTTCCTGCTTTGGTCTGGAGAGACTTCACCTTGGAAGTCACCCACTTCCTGTGCTCTCCTAACTCGCTGCAAACAAGAAATCTTCCTCCACTTTTTTATCTCCAGGTTAGACTCTTTGTCATTTGCCTTCTTTTCCTGCAGACCAGAAACACAGCCCGCCACACTGTGGGCAGTGTCAGTAGCCAGGTGGACTGACCAGTGTTTATGTTTGGTGTTTGGGCTCAAGGGACCCTTATTTTACTTTATGATGGCCCAGGGCACAAAGGCTCATGCGATGCCCACTAGTGTCACAGTGTAAAACCCAGGGCGGATGACCCTGGTGCCATTTCTTAGCATGTGGGGCGTGTGGGAAAGCACACAGCACCGTGCAGATGGGCTCAGCACTTCCTGCAGTCCCAGGCCACTGCTGGGGCCTTGGAAGGCATCCTCGGCTAATGAAGTAGGACAGGTGTAGGCTGCACTATGCTTGCTGTGTTTGAGGAGAAGCAAGAAGGCCAGGAAGGCCAGGCGTGGTGGCACACCCCTGTGATCCCAGCACTCAGAAAGCTGAGGCAGGAGGATTGCTGCAAGTTCCAGGCCAGTCTGGGAAATGGAGTTAGTTCAAGGCCAGCCTAAGCCGCATGGTGAGACTCTGTTTCAAAAAGACCAAAAAAAAAAAAAAAAAAAAAAAAGGATGAGGAGGAGGAGAAAGAGGAGGCCAGGAGGGACAGGAAGTAGTCAGGCTTTGTTTTTTTGTTTTTGTTAATTTTGTGACCAAGTTTGAAAGAGAGCAGGGAGCAAGCCCTAGGAGGCTGTATTAGAAACAGAGTCATGTTCCAAAAATGCAAATGCCAGTGACTCAGCAAGATAACAACTTCAAATAGAAATGCATCTGTCAATACTGTGTGCAAACCTTCAGTGGGTAGTTTATTCCATGTAAATTGCTTCCCCTGGGGATGATAAAAAGGCAGTTAAAAGGATAAATATACATGGACCACACACGGAGGGTGATAAATAAATCCTCGATTGAATGAGTGAATTAATGAATACATTAATGTTACATCACCTGCCCACACAACAGAACTCCATAGCTCCTGATCTGGGGGTGCCTGGTTCAGGCAGCGTCCAGCAATCACTGGGGTGGTTGGGGACAGGATAGCCAGACAGGTAGATAGGTAAATAGATAGAGGGTAACAGGCACAAGTACAAGGAGAGATGGATGGGTAAGACCGCAGTCATGGTCGAAGTCTTTAAAATAACAAAATTAAATGTACACAAAACCTACAATCACAAGAAAATATCTGTTCTCTTGAAATACAGATGTTTTGGAAAACGGGTCTCGCTTTAAGACACAAAGAAAAATTTTAACTACAGTATGATCAAGTTAGTGATAAAACAAAAGATTATATTTAAAATTCTTTTATTTTTTTCCCTTAGGTTTAAAAACTTTTAATTTCAGTTTTTTTTTTTTAAAGTGATCTAAATTAAAGGGGAAACCAAGAAAGATTCCCAGTGCCTGGACAATTTATCGAATAATTTTATGTAATTTCCAAATATGGATCATCAATCTTATGTAGTTTTTTAGTAAAAAACAAAAAACAAAACAAAAAAGCACCCACCAAAAATACCATATTGTTTATTCTATGATAAGAAGAAGGCAAAGTATAAGAAAACAGTCCAGAAAAAGAAAATCATAAACTAATTTTACTTTTGAGCACAGATGCAGTGTGTTTGTACAGGGCTGAGGAGAGCCAGGGAGGGGACAGACACGGTTAACATGTGTTGCTGTGCAGAGAGGAAGCCTTTGCATGGGGCCAGAACTGATTCCATCCCGGGCCCAAGCTCCCCCTCCACCTAGTCCCAGCATTCTCCTGGGTCTTCAGCACCCAAAACACATCTCAGTGTTCGGGTCTGGGGAACTCTGCCTGTGCCAGGGCAGACATGATGACCCGTGCAAAAGAACCTTCCATCTGAAATGGCAGACAGGCATGTTTAGAAGCACTGTGAGACTAAAGGCTGAAGCCCGCAGCCATGGGAAGGACCCTAGGAGGATGAGCACGTCCAAGGCCAGCTAGGTGGTCACATCCCCAGCAATGTCCATACCTGAGGCGTACCATGCTCCGATCATCCGTGCTCGAATCAGCCCCTCTCTCTTTTTGTTTCTTACCAATTGAACCTTGTCTCGAAAGCTTTCCAGATAATAATTGAGCTTTGATTTCAAATCATCTGGAAAAAAACAACCAATACTTGATAATTTATAAACTGCAATGCAGAAAATAATTTATCATCCTCATCGATTCCTAAAAACCAGGCCATTCCACAGAAGTTCTAACTTTAAGTTTCTAAGTTGTTAGAGAAATGTCTTTTTAAAAATTGCTATTAAAATTTTCATAGGAAAAAGTATGAGCGAGAGTGCTTTGGTGCAATCTGATTTTGCTACTAATCACACAAACTGCACGATAATCACAATGCTTTTAACTTTGTAGTGATTCTTAGGATAGTTATCAGACTACTTGAGCCCTAAATTCCTTGTCTGTGAGAAGGGTTGCTCACCATGCTCCTGGCAGTCCTCTAGGGAATCTGGCACCCTAGAGTCACTCAGTATTTGGAGACTGAGGTGAGGGGAGATGGATACAGGTTTCCCAGAGTTCTAAATCCTGAGTCCCAGAAGTGAGGAGCAGAAAGCGCAGGTAAGGACCTGATTCCGACAAGGACATCACAGCTCCTTGTGGCCAAAGCCAGGATCCTTTTCCTTTAAGTGCCAGGGCCTGCAGGGAAGGGTGCAGGCTGCTGAGGCACAGCTGCCTGCAGACCTCTCTGTCGGTCAGAGAGGGCACTCTGGGAACCGGACCTTGGAGCAGATGAAGCCAGGGTGGGTGGCACTTGTGGCTGACCCAAAGTGGGGGTTTGCTAGAGATTTCAGACATCCTCACACTGCTAGCTGGTGATCAAGGGGGCCAGGATGATAGGAAAGGTGGACGATGGCAGGTGATACAATGTCATTTGTGTAACTTAGTGGAAGCAGGTCCCCAGGCCTCTGTCCCCTGCTACCCTAAGCAGAGGGAGTCCCCTGGAAGAAGAACTCATGTACAACAGGCTTTGGTCCAAAAGTGTCCTGTGATTCACAATGAAGTCATTGAGAACTAAAGCAGGTGTCCACCCTGAGCCCATCAGAACACAGCAGCCTGTGTCTGCATTTGAGGTTCTGTATGGGCCAAGGCCAAGGGCCAGGGAAGCAGAAGTAGGTGTTGGTTCTGCACTACACTCAGTGACCCCACTAATCTCTTATGCAAAGGACCAAAATGCACAATGAGTGTATAAGCAGGTACAAAGGATAGGGAATGAAAATTTGTGATTTTCTCCAAATACATTTGTCAAAATTTAATCCTCAGAACAGTATTTGAAGATAGGGACTTCAGGAGGGGTCAGTTATGAGGGTGGGGCCCGTACAAACAGGATCAGTGCCCTCAAAGGAAGAGACTAAATAGCTCTCTGATTTCTCTCTGCCATGTAAGGACACAGCAAAAAAGACATCTGTCTACAACCAGAAAGAGGAACATGACGTTATGGGCACTTGGTCTTAGACTTCCCACTTTTAGAACTGTGAGGAGTAGATGTTTGTTGTTCAAGCCACCGCCAGTGTATGATGTTTAAGAGCTGTCAAGCTAAGACACCAAGCATGTCTCCAACTCGTAGTGAGAGTCTACGAGACTGGCAGAGGGGGCTTACGGTCCTTCTTGGAGCTGCATCCCCTGGGGGGACCCTTGCACTAGGAGCTGAGCCCATATGTGGCTTTACTGTGGCTTCTTTTTTTTTATTTATTTATTTATTTATTTTATTTTTTTTTTACTGTGGCTTCTTGCCAAACACAGTTGTACAAGCAGCGGAGGCATCAGGACAATTTTCCACAGTCTTTTCATGTACAAGTCTGGAAATACAGAGTCCTGTGTCCTTCTACGATGTTGATGCCCACGGCAGTGAAGCGAATATGTGAGAGGACACACTCACAACATAAAAAATTCCAAATAAAGTGACCTTAACTGAGTCACACTCTGGAGCAACCTAGCATCACTCTCTACAGGTTGAGCTTGTGGGATGTCTTCTTCTGCTCTTTCCTCTTCCAGCTCACCACCATCAAAGACTATAGCATTGCTCTGGCACCCCTGGCTGGCTTAAGGCTCACATTCAGTTGTAAAACAGACAACTAATTTTAGATTCTAAGATGCTTCACTAGATTTTGTGCTTATATCACAATTCTTTTAAACCAATAAGCTTAGAGGAATAAGCACCTTAATATTCCTTCATCCAATAGAGTTCTTTTATGTATAGTAAACCTGGATCACGTCATTTCCTCAACAATTCTGCATATTCATGAGATAAATCCAAATAATCCCCTTCTTGAGTAGTTTCCTTTTATTATCGCTGGCTTTATGCCCCTCTCACCCTACCAGCTCTACACTTGTGCATAAACTACACCCAGTGCCTTCTCTGGTCTCCAAGCCTTTACAAGGTGGTGCTTCCTCTGTCTAAAACACCTTTCCATCCTCTGCAGCTGGATAACTTCAAATCATCCTTCCATCTTCCATGTATGCTTCATTTCTTCCAAAGCCCTATCTAAACACCAAGCCGAGATTCCTAACTGACCTTGTGGGAGCCCCATCAGGAGAGGGACCAGGTCCTCTGTGTCTCCCATGCGCACCCACCAGGAACAACCTGTGGAAATAGTGCCCCACCCACTAGGCAAGGGCTGCTTCCCAAGGGGCAGACAGTCAACGTCCACTTACCAAACTTGCTCATGTCATCCACCAAAATGATTTCTTCAAGGAGATAAGGTGGCGTGAGATAGACAACGCTGGACACCGTCCGAAGTAAGGCATTAAATTCTTCATTATGGAAGCAAATGATAACGCTGGCCGTCGGTAAGTGAAGTGGGTAATGTCTGTGACGGCAACTGCCACAATAAAGGAGGAAAAAAAGGAATTATCTAAAAGGCTTGCATGTTCAGGCTTTTGTTCACATATCTTGCCTTATCTTCACCCTGTCCTTCAACTGATGATTTTGACAATACAATAATAAAAGGTCACCTAAAAATCTAAAACTTATGATTGTGCAAAATGGGAATATTAACTTCCATGTTTTTCTAATACTTTTGAAATTGTTTCTTCCTTCTTAATTGTTCTTTCCTGCACTCTATTTTGATCATTTAGTCCTACTTTATAGCCTAAATGCAAATTATAGGTTAGCTTCAGTGCTTAAAACAAATCACTAAACTTATACACACTGAAGGTTTGCGTTAAATTTATTACTGGCAAAAAAAATAGACAAATAGTAGCCAGGCGTGGTGGTACATGCCTATCATTCTAGCACTTGGGAGGCTGAGGCAGGGGGGTTGTTGTGAGTTCGAAACCAGCCTGGACCACAAAGTGAACTCAAGGCCGGCCTGAACTGCATGGCGAGACCCATGCAGAAAGAAAGAAAGAAAGAAAGAAAGAAAGAAATAAAGAAAGAAAGAAAGAAAGAAAGGAAGAAAGAAAGAAAACAGACACACAGACCAATGGAACAGAATAGAGAAGCCAGAAACAAGTACTGTGCTAGTAGTACTGGGCTGATTTTCAAGAAGGACACCAAGAGCACACTGTGGAGAAACAGCAATCTATTCCTAAGTGGCACCTGGGAAACTGACTACCCACACACACGGAATGAAATAAGATGCCTGTCTCATACTGCACACAAAAAGGGACTCCAAATGCATCAAAGTTGTAAACCTAAAACCTGAAACTCTAAAGCCATCAGAGAGCACATAATGGGAAAAAGCCATGACCTTGGTCTAGGCAATGATTTTTTTGGATACGACTGCAAAGACACAGCCACAAAAACAAAAAATAAACTCACGAGGCTGCATCAAACTAAAAATCACCTGCGCAGCAAAAGGAACAACCAGCAGAAGGGAGCAACCACCCGCAGAATGAGGGAAAACATTGCAGATAATGCATCTCATAAAGGGTTAACATCTATATGCAGTAGGGAGAAAACAAATCTCCAGATTTTTAAAAAATTCAGTGATCCCTTCCGTGATGTGTTTCAAGGGCCACCCCACACGTGTGCAAATGGTTGTCAAAAAGTGAAAGCTAGCGAGTGTAGGTAAGAATGGGGGAAAGGGGAACTTTACACGCTGCTGATGGGAAAGAACACCACCCGCCATGGACCCGGGTGCTCGCTCCACTGGGGGGTGTGCACCCAAGGGTGCCGGAGCAGTAGGCTGGAGGCTGCTTGTACTTCCCCGGGCTTCAGAGCATTGTTCACAACAGTCAGGGCTCACCATCAGCCTGAGGGCCACCCATCGATAGAAGACTGACGAAAATGCGGTGCCACACACAGTGAAAGGGTGTTAAGCCTTTAAAGAAAGACGTTCGGTCATTGATCACATGGATAGACCTTGGAGGATCTCACCTGAAGTGACAATAATCCAGGGACAGAAACGCAAATACTGCAAGATGTCACTTGTGAAACAAATCAGTCAGGAAAGTGATAAATCGGGTATGATTTTACTTATCCAGGGTCCCTGGAGCAGCCCAATTCTTAACACAGAAAGGAGCGTGGTGGTTGCAAAGGTACAGGAAAAGAGGAAATGGCAGATGGGAGTTGTTTGTTGAGTTCAGAGTTTCAGTTTGGGGTGATGGAAAATTCTGGAGATGGATGGAGTGATGTTTGCACACCAGTGTGAATGTGCTGATACCACTACATTGTATCTTTAAAAATGGCTATAATGGGAAGGGGATATAGCTCAGTGGCACAGCACAAGTCTGGCAAGCACAAGGACCTGAGTTCAGATCCTGAGAGCCCTCCTCCCATGGCTATAATAGTAAATTGTACATTATGCATTTGCCACAACTTTTAAAAAGTTATGAATAGAAATGATTGAAGGAACAATGAAAATGAAGCAGCAGTTTCACTGCACAGGGAATCTGCCCCTCTTTGTTCATTGTTCGGATTGCTGTGATGGGATCTCCTCTGTTTCTGTGTTTTTATTCCCCCTAATGAAATGTGGGGAGGAGGCTTTCAGCTCTGATTCTCCTACCATTCCCTCAGTCTTTCTGTTAGGACAGAAACTACCTGATTGTCAATTGTGGTGGACTGAAGACATGATGAGAGTAAAAATTTGCAGCAGTTGGAAGAAAAAAAATAGGTAGCTGTCTGCATCATTTTCTAGTGGGATGACCCCTCCCATGGGCTGGAACCCCATTTGTTGATTAACAAGACCCATCTAAGACACTGCAGATAGAGATGTGCTTGCTCTCTGTCACCCACTCTTATCTTGAAATAGGACCTATATCTTGAAATAGGTCCTATCTTGAAATAGGACCTCAGGGGGCTGGGGATTTAGCTCAGTGGCATAAGCACCTGCCTTGCAAGCAGGCGGTCGTGAGTTCGATCCCTGGTACCGATAAAAAGGAAAAAGACAACAACAACAAAAAAATCTAAGGAAGAAATAGGACCTCAGTATTACTGACTTCAAATCCCAAAGATTGTCTTACGTGTAAGACTTTTAACGTGCTGATGTTAAATTGGCTCTGTAGCTGTTTTGGTTTGGATGCGGTAGGAACACACCTTTTATCCCGGGTGTCCGGCACCTCTCTGTCGTGGCCCAGACTTCTACTGACAATGACATTAAATCCATACTCTAAATATCCGTTGAAAAGCTCCGGGTCTGAATAATTAATATTCTGATCTGCAGGAAAAGGTAACAAGAGTTTCGTGAATAAAGGCTGACCATTGTCGCAGAGAGGCCAGGCAGCGGGAAAATTCCGTCATGAGGTTTCTCCTTTTTGTGAAAAGTCCAGTCATTTGCTTGGAAATGAATCCACCCCGGATGAGGTTAAAGGTGGGATCACAAGGTATTTACACAAGCCAAAGCACGTTTAAATCACTAGGTCTTGTGGGAGGAAGTCAGTCAGAGTCCTCAGTGTTAGTCTGATTGTCAACTACAGTGCAAGTTGTCAGAACAGAAAGATTTAGGGAATGTGGGAGAATCAGTGCTGAAAACTACCTCCTCACTCTCATTGGGAAATAAACTGCTCTAACAGAGAACAATCGGATCACAGCAATTTTAGCGAAAATTCCCCATCCAAAGATAAAACCTCTAGGAGGGGAAAACAAAACAATCACAAAAGAAACAAAAGGAATCAACATAATTAAAAGAATGTCCAAAGAATACAGGAGTCAGAGTATCATTTCAAGAAGTGTGCAATTCCCTGGAAGATGTGGGAAGTTATTTTATACTAATAGGTGAAATCACAGTGGAGATTTAGTAGTTATGGCATCAAATATGCTGAAGCAAAAGGAATAAATATCAACAGGAACTGTCACAGATAAACAATAACGGGAAGCTGGGTGTGGCAGTGCATGCCTGTAAGAAATTACACTCGGGAGGTGAGGCAGGAGGATCATTACAAATTCGAGACCAGTCTGGGCTACAAAGTGAGCCCAAGGCCGGCCTGAACTGCATAGCAGGACCTTGTCTCAAAAAAAAAAAAAAAAAAAAAAGAAAGTAATAAGATAATTTAAGAACAACTCTGAATTAGAGAAAAAGAATTCAAATAGTATAATGAATTATAATGAGTTACTTCCTTGGTGAACATATACTGTACTTTGTCTTCTAGACATTTTTCCCTCAATGCCTAAGGAGTATTTTTGCAAAATAGATATAGCACTTTATGCGCTATAAATAAAGGAGGATCTTGGTAGCCCCATTCCTCCCAATTCTTGTCTTGTACAACTAAAAAGTCCTGTGCCCAGCAAAACAGATGAAAGGTGAAGAAGGAAGCCACTGCTCAAGGACCCTCTGTGTAACCACCCATGAATCTCGGGAAGGGCGCAGCAGAAGCCTCCAGCTAGATCCACTTGCAGGCAATAACAGAAAGTCTCTGGGATCCTCCCTCATCCAGGAGCTAGACAAGGCGGGCTTGGTGAGAGCCTCAGCACCTGGGCTGCTTGCCACTCTGCCCCAAGGAAGCAACTCTCCTCTCTCTGGCCCTGCGAGGTCTGGAGGATGAGCAGGACCCACTCCCATCCCCAGTTACCTCCTGGTAGAGCTGACAGGCTGAGCTGGGAACTGGTCCTCCGCAGCTTTGCCTGGTGGAGGCAGGGGCTGCCCTGCATCCCCAGCAGTGTCACTGGCAGGTTGAACCAATGAGCCTGGGCCCCGGGGGGGAGGGGGGACCTGTACTTCTTCCACTCTGCCCATCCTAAGCAAGGCAAGTTACACAGGGGTAGACTGAGTGGACCCAGCAGGAAGCCACACACACACACTCCCCAGGTCCTTGGGCTGCATCTCAAGAGGGCCTTCTTTACTGAAAAGGAAGCTGACACTGGATGCGTCATATCACAGCATAGTGGTGATAAATAATAGAATCAGTGAGTGGGAGGGCAGATCAATAGGAATTACTCCCTGAAAGACAAAATAAACTGGAAAAAAGTGAAGAGAGTTTTAGGGAACTTCAGGACAATGTGGGAGCTGAATTTGTGAGATGGGCCCGGGGAGAGGACAGAGCAGGGCTGTAAGTACTCTGAGGAATCATGGTCAAAAGCTCCCTGAATGTGGTGAAGGATGGAAAGCTATGGATTTGAGAGGCCAAGCAAACCTTCAAAGAGGAAGTCAGAGAAATCCATGTCAACATGCATGATAATTTTTTTTCTTTTTAAGACAGGGTCTCGCTATGCAGTTCAGGCTGAACTTGAGCTCACTTGGTAGCCCAGGTTGGTCTTGAACTTGCAGCAATCCTCCTCCTCAGCCTCCTGAGTGCTAGGTTACAGGGGTAGGCCACCATGCCCCGCTAACATGCATTATGATTAAACTTCTGAAAGTTACAGGCAGAGAGATGATTCCAAGCACTGAAAGAAAGGAGCAGTCCACAGCAAATTCCATAGGCAGCAAAAATATCCTCCAGGAAGTACAGGAACATAATAAAACTCTCAGATAAAGGAAAAGTAGTATTTGTTACTGGAAAACCCACCCTTAAAAAATGATGAAAGTATAATCTCATCATTCTGGGAAGCTGAGGCAGGAGGATGGATCACAGGTTGGAGCCCACCCTAGGCAAGTTAGCAATTTAGCAAGACCCTGTTCTTAAATAAAAAATAAAAATGGAGGGGGATGTATGTCAGTGCAAAGGCCCTGTTTTCAACTACCTGTATGGGGGGGGGAGGGAAGAGAAGTGATTCTCTAAACAAAAAGGAGACAAGATAAAAAGACTTGGAACTTTAGAAAAGAGAAAACATCAAAATGGGCAAAACCAGGAATAAATAGAATATACTTCTCATAACATTTCTAATACTATCTGATGGCTGAAGCAAATATTAAGACTGTCTGGTATGATGCCACAATATGTAGAGGAAAACCCCAAAACTACCTTGTAACATGAGGAAGGCAGAGGAACTTCTTACACTTTCCTTGAAGCAACAAAACAGCAGCACAAGAAGACCTGTACATTCTGTATGTACAATGTGATACCGACTGCAAGCACTAACAAAACTGTGCAAAATGACATACAGAAAACACTAAGTCAACCAATGGAACTCTGAAATATTTTCAAGTAGTCACAGGAAGGAAAAATCCCAGAAAAATGAAAAGCAGAAGAAACAAATGATAAAAATGTTCAACTTAACCCTAATATGGTAAACAGTAATATTAAATGAAAATGACCTAACTACTAATGAAAGACTTAGACTGGCAGGGTGGATTAAAAATGTAATCCAGTGATATATAACCTGCAGGAAACTCAGTTCAATGCAATCTAGTTAGACTGAAAGAAAAAGGATAGGAAAAGATATACCACAAAACCACAAATCAAAAAAGTGGGAGTCGCTATACTAAAATCAGATAAAACAGACTCCAGCACAAATAAAATTAGTAGTGACAGAGTCCAATCTTACATACTTTTCTTTATATAAATTTTGAGATATCTCGCTACGCAGTCCAGGCTGGCCCTGAAGTCCTTATGGAGCCCAGGCTGGCCTCAAACTCACAGTGATCCTCCCGCCTCCATCTTCCGAGTGCTGGGGTTACAGGCATCCACCACCACGCCCAGCCCAGACATTACATACTGATGAGAGGTCGACCCACCATGAGGCCCAGGGGTCCTATATACAAATAAACCAAATAACAGAACCCAAAATACAAGAGGCAGAGGCCACTAAAAGCTGAAAGAAGAAACAGACAACCCATATCCTGGATTATAAAGTAAACCTCAAAAATGTAAAAGAATCGGGTGACTGGGGATTTAGCTCGGGGCATAAGTGCCTGCCTTGCAAGTGCGTGGTTGTGAGTTCAATCCCTGGTACCGATTAAAAAAAAATGTAAAGGAATTGAATCATGCAGTACATTTTCTGACCATAATAACATTAAACTGGATATCAGCAACAGAAAGACACAGAAAATCATCCAAATACTGGGCCGGGGATTTAGCTCAGCAGCATAAATGCCTGCCTGACAAGAGCAAGGTCGTGAGTTCAATTCCCAGTACCCAAAAAAAGGAAATTATCCAAACACTTGGAAATTAAAAAAGACACTTTGAAGTAACTCAGAGAAACTCTCAAAGGAAATATAAAAATACAGAAAACTAAATGAAAATGAAAATTCAACACATCAAAACATATAGGCTGCAATATTACGGTATCACATTATAGATCCAAATTGATCTATAGATTCAATGCAATTCCATTCAAAATACCAGTAGGCTCTTTAGCATAGAAAACAAAATTTGTTTCTAGAAGTATATAGATAAGCAAAAGGTCTAATAACCAAAACATTTTTTAAAAGGAGCCAGTGTAGAATTCGGAGCTACACAAAAGTGGTCACGTGATGGCAAAGTGGTCAAAGAAAAGGGCTTCTCTCTTACTCCCTCTTTGTTGGGGCAAAATATCCCACGCCCACAAGTTAAAGGAGGAAAGGTTTATTTTATGATTCCTTTTTTAATTTTTTATTTTTTGGTACTGGAGATCTAACTCATGATCTCTTGCTAGCCAGGGATACGCTGTGCCATGGAGCTGTATCCTCGGCCTGGAAAGGTTTATTTTAGCTCTCCGTCTGTAGAGCTTTTAGCTGACAGTCTGCTGGCCCCACGGCAGGGCAGCATGGCAGAGGAGAAGCTGGCCGTGGCATGGCAGGCAGGGAGCAGCAAGGCTTCCATTCTCCTTCACTTCTTATGCCATCCAGGCTTCAGACCTGTTGGTTAGAGCCTGTACACCCAGGGGGAGTCTTCCCTTTTCGTAAACGCATCATCCACAACCAGATCTATGTTAAATCTTTAGTCAGTGCACTAATCCAGTACCACATCCCCAAGATCCGTCTCTCACAAAAGCCTCACCTATGAGCACATGAAACTCTGGGGCGACATCTAGATATAAGCTATAGTGGGGAAAGGGTTTCAGTCAGTTGTGCTGGATCAACCGGATTCCCACCAGACAGAAATGAACCGTATCACCGAAGCCTCATATTATTACAAAGTTAACTCAAAATGGATCATGATTCTAGCATAAAGTCAAACATTTTTAAATTTCTGTAAGAAAATAGAGCGAGATTTTTGTCAACTTGGAGTAAGCAAAAGCTCCTGAATAAAATTTAAAAATGAATTATACAAAAGAATGTGGTAAGACAAGCGTAATCAAAATTTAAAATTGTAGCTGGGCACGGTGGTGCATGCCTGCGAGCACTCAGAAGGTTGAGGCAGCAGCAGGCACATGGCCGCTGATCCCCTCCAAGTCCTCCCCCTCACTTGGAGCACAGTGCGTCCCATCATTCTTGTCACTTTTGGAAGCAACGCTGAGAGTCCCCCTTCCCAGGTATTTAGCTGCACTGTCACGCCTGCCTCAGCATCCTGAGCTGATTCAAAACTCACCACCCATGGTCATTTTGACTTTGGGGAAGAGCCACAAGTTGCACAGGGAATGAGGTGACCTGGTGAATGAGGTAGATGAAGACACACTGTCGTGTTTCTACAGGTTCTTTCAATTGGGTGGCATTCCACAGGGGCATTTACTTTTATTTTATTTTTTGTCTCTTTGAGACAGGGTCTCGCTAGGCAGTTCAGGCTGGCCTTGGGCTTACTTTGTGGCCAAGGCTGGTCTCGAACTTGCAAATGATTCTCCTGCCTCAGCCTCCCAAGTGCTGGGATTACAGTAGTGTGCCACCATGCCCGGCCTTTACCATGTTTTATCAAGGAAGTTCACTGCATCAATTTGAATTGTAAGATAGCAGGATCAAGCTAATTACTCACCAATATGGGAATGGCTGCATAAAATCTGATATAGTCATTCTCTACCACTAACAATTGAGGCAGATCGATGTGTGTTTAGTTAGAAATATTAGTACAATATAAAGCAAATGGTATGTATGGAGAAGTTGGTAAACACAAGCATTTACCTCTTGAAGGTGAGAAAGGGAAGAATTTCTCTTGTGTATATCTGTGTGTGTGTTGACTGCTAACCTTGAGGGCCAATTTTCTTTTTTTAGCTTGTGTTTTTAAGCATCCTTAAAAATACTTATAAATAAATGATACTCAAGTCTATTAAACATGTTTCCAGGGTAGAGACAGTGATACTAATCCTTTGACTCCTCGACCAGCCACTGACATGCAGAGACATCCCTCTGACAGCCCTGGGCTGGGGTCAGACCATAAGTGGGAGCCAGAGCTCGAAACTCACAGGAGGCCTCTGTGGCCGGCCAGGTCTCACCAGTCCAGCACTGTGCCACTCAGCAGAGAAGTAGGATGGCTCATGCCCCACACAGCATTCTCCCTGGGGGTCCTCCTTGACTTTTTGTTTAGTTTTGTTTGTATTTTTGTTTTCCTTTTTCTCTGCTTCTGCGTGGCAAGAGACTCACAGCAGATTTGGAGTGTGGTCCAAGGCAAGGGTGGACACAGCTTCTGGGGGGCCACTCCGGTTCACACTGAGCTTGGGGCAGAGCAGGGATCTGCAGAACTAGATCTGGTGTCTAATTTTTGCTCTTTATTACTCTCTTTATCTTTTTCTTTCTCTTGGACTTATTTTGTTAAACTAGGTCTTCGTGTCTTAACATGGGAGAAAAGGTCTTACAAACATAATGAGTAGAAAAAACAAGTTCCAAGGATGCAGAATGCAGAAAATATGTAACATCAGATACTTTGTGCAGAGATGTGGAGAAGGTATACACCCATCCGTGCAGGCAGCAGCTTGCCTGTGAGTTTGCAGGGGCGATCTGTATCTGTTAAATTTGATTTCTCTGAAAAACAGAAAGCTACCTAGGGAAAATATGAAAGCCGTGTTAAGTGCACATCTGTGATCCCAGCACTTAGGAGCCTGAAGCAGGAGGATCTCCATGAGTTTAAGGCCGGCCTGGGCTACATAGTGAGTTCAAGGCTACCCTGGCCCATGGGGTGAGACTGTCTCAAAAAAAAAAGAAAAAGAAAAAAAGTTAAATTTAGGTGCATACACACTTGTTTTACAATTTTCTGTGTATAAATATCTATATGTATACATAGCATTTCATGATTTACAAATTAAAACGAATATGCCCTTATTTTTCCAAATATCACGTTTATATGTATTTCCCTGCTAAGAATGGGTAGCAAAGAAAATGAAAATACTCACTTAAGGGAGACTTTGGCTTCTGCTCTATTTGTGTTTTTTCCTCAGCCCAGTCCAGTATTCTGCGCTGCTTCCTTATTTTCTCTGGGGCCTGGGGAGCTTGCTGATATGCATGGGACCATGCCGATGCGGGCTCCTGAGTCTTCTTGTATGGGCTGCTCATATGTTCAAGGTGAAAATACAGACAGAACAGAACTGTCCCAATGCCAAATATGGAAGACCCATAGAATAAATACTGAATCATGTTATATCGCATGGCAAATCTAGCTTTTTCAAAGGTCCGTTTTTCAATTTCCTAAATCAGAATGAGTTAAGAGAAGCAATATTAGATATTTCCATGATTTGTAATCATTTGTTTGCCTTAAATTCAGTTCTAAGTGTCTGAAAGAGATCATTTTGATACCAGTCCTTATCACATACCTAAAGTGTATCTTTTTACTATTAACAAAGCTCTCAAAATTGACATGTATAAAATAATTTATTAACCAGAGAAAACAATATAAAACATATAGTGTTGTTTAAAGACCTCGGTCCCTATTCCCGACTGCATAGCTTGAGGAAATAACATGAAAACATCTTAGCTTAGCCCTCAGATTGTCCGGTGTATTTTGGAGAGTCAGCATAGATCTTCAAAAGTCTGATTTGAACATTTTAGTGCGGTCCTTTCGTCTGTTTCCAGAACGGCACTTGGTTTCTATGCTTCTGACCTTGAGCTTACCCAGGGGAACAAGCCTGCACACACTCCTGAGCTTTAGGGGGCACCTGGACTGCTGTCCAGCCCCTAGGACCCAGAACAGCTCCATCAAAGCACCCGCAAAGGACCTTGGCCTTGGAACCCCACAAAAGACCCTTCCAGTCACCAGATCAACAACTTGGGTCATTTCCTGGCAGACAAAATGCACATCCCCCAGACCTGCAGACTCAGCCTTTGCCAGCGATTGGGGGACCCACCCTGACGTGCTTAGGCAGAGGGAGGGGAGGGTCCTCCCAGGACACACAGTTGAACACCTGATAAAGATCCCAGAAGCACAGTGACAGCTCCTTGACTGAGAGGGAAACACTTTACAAGAGAAATATTTGACTCTTCACATAAAAAATATCAAATGTATAGGAGAGGAAGATAATTTCTAAATTGGGAAAATGACGGATTAAAATAGCCAAGGGCTGGGAATATATAGCTTGGTGAGTTTGTGTAGCTGGAGGTAAGCCCTGGGTTTGCTCCCCAGCACCTCTACCTCCAGACAAACAAATGAACAAACAAGTAAATGATGTTGTTTTAACTTATATTGCCACCATATATTCCTACCAAATGTCTAAATTTTGAAAGCCTTCTGTGTTAACTTTCTCTAAAACCCCAAAACAAATAGAAACCAGTTTAAAAAAAAACTTAAAGAGAAGCAATCATATCTAATATGTTAAGTATATATCTGTAGTTATATGTCAAGATTATTACATAAAAATTAATGTATATTCTTTCAAAGAATTCTAACATATTCAGTAAACTTGGGGAACACTCTTTTTAGAGTAAATGTACAAATAACCCATTTTATTGTTTTACTAGTTAATTCTTACAGTGCCTGTATCACATTATCTTAAAGTAGAGCTTGCTAGTTCTCTGGAATGCAAACCTCACCTCCTAACCCGGCTCTCATACGCCCACAAAACACAGAAAACCCCTGATACCTAGAGAGAGGGGTAACAGGGCTGTGGGTGGCTTTTTGACTCTGTATGCTCAGCAGAAAATCGTGTTATTTACTTCACTAGAACATGCTGACCTCACAGCCTACAAGAATGCAGCACTGATGTGTATGTAAATCATGCTTTGATAGAGATTTGTGTATACAGCAAATAAAACATTTGAGTGCAAAGCACCTGGGGGACTCCTGCAAAAAGAAAAGGCAGTTAAACATCATCAGCAGTCCACACACACGCACGCACACGCAGGCACATGGGTTAAAGCATAAATCTGGATTTACTGTTGCTGAGTTTGTTTTAAAACGTGAAACTTTAAGGTCAGGATAGTATGACCTGTTTTAGAGAATGACGTGAGTAGTTTTTCTGTAAATAATCAGTATTTTAAAAAATTGCTAGCCTGGCATGGTGGCACACTTCTGTAATTACAGCACTCATGAGGCTGAGGAAGGAGAGTTGTTGCAAATTCGAGACCAGCCTGGGCTACAAAGTGAGCTCAAGGCCGCCTGAACTGCATGGTGAGACCCTGCCTCAAAAAGACAAAAAAAAAAAAAAATTTTTTTTAAGTCACTGTTTGCCGTACATAATGTTTGTATTTCTTGTGTGGAGTGGATGCTTGTATATAACACATCTTAATTCATTTATTAATCCTCTTTCCTCCCCTTCTCGTCCCTTCCTCCATCTCTTTAGCTCCTCTCCACTTACCTCTTACTTCCTATTATCTGTTATTTTGCTTTTTATTCAGACTTTGGATTTCTTACAAAAGAGAAACCATGCAATATTTAAGGTTGTATGTCTGCTTTATTTCACTCAACATTATGTTCTCAAGGCCTATCCGTTAATAATCAGTATTTTTTAATTTGTTTTTTGTGAGATAGAGTTTCACTATACAGTGCAGGCTGGCCTTGAACTCACTATGTAGCTCAGGCTGGCCACAGATTCCCAGTAATCCTCTTGCCTCAGCCTCCCGAGTGCTGGGATTACAGGCATATACCACCATGCCTGGCAATAATCAATATTTTTTAACTCTTTGCCTTCCTGGGACAATCTTAATACTTCTCTCCATTCAAGATCTACCACCCTCCACAACCCTAAAGGCTTTTCCCCCTAATGACTCATATAATGAAAACCAGACTGTTTTTTTAAAGAACAAAACCATTCCAGGGCCCAGTCAGCCCCAAAAGCTGAGGTCACTCCCTCTTGAGAAACCAAGAAACACTTTTGTTCTTTTTTGGTACCAGAAATCAAACTCAGGCTGCTGTGCTTTCCAGGCAGACGCTTATGCCACTGAGCTGTATTCCCAGCCCTGAAATCAAGAACCTCTTCATCCTAATCCCCCGAGTTAGGACCCCATTCACAGTTCAGCCACGTGTCACACAGCTCCCACTGACTCTAAGTGAAATGGCTTCCTGGCACACTGGGCCCCTCCACCTACCACTGAGGAAGCTGGGTCCTGTATTTGCCAGGCAGAGGTGTAGACAGAGTTAGGTGGAGTCCGAGTGGATGAACTGGGAGTCACAATGTTTATCTGGATGGCAGATTCTGTGGTGCTGGACTGTGCCCGTCTGCTCTCTCTGCAGATGCCTCACAAAGCCTGGTGACATCATACAGGGTGTCCCCAGCCCGCTGGGGCCCCTCTCTTGTAAGCCCCAGCCAGAATCCAGTGGTCTCCAAGTTCAAAGGGGCCTTCCAGAACACCCCAAAATTTTTACTCCTCCACTGAGGAAGTAGACAAGCCTTGTAGCAATTAAGGTCAGAAGGCAGGGTAACCCCCTTCCCAGATAGAGTAGAGTACTGTTTAGCTGTGGTGCAGTAAACTTAAGAAAAGCAACCTTTCTGAGCCCACAAGAAATTTAAACTGACTTAATTATTCTCTGTTAATCAGCATTTAGATGTTAGTAAAAAAAAAAAATAGATGTTAGTGTGTGAGTTTAGTCAAAGGCTTCTGAAATTTTCTCCTCTGCAGCTCTGAACTGATTTATTTTCCCTCTGCGGAGCAGACTCAGCGATTTACCTGGACCAGACATGGGCTTCCAGACTGAGGGCGGGAGCATGCCTTTCCCAGGGGAGGCAAGATGGGTGATAATGAGCTCTGTGCAAGACTCTTGAACCTTCTTTCCGCAGCCTGGATGGGAAGGTGTTCCTTGGCCCTTTAATGGTAATATTAACTCAACATTAATATTAAAAAAGTGAGTTTGGGGCTGAGGGTGCCACTCGGTGGTAGAGAACTTGCTTAGCATGTGCAAGGCCTTGTGTTCAATCTCAGCACTGCCAAAAAAAAAAAAAAAAAAGTGAGTTTTTATTTATGATAATCCCCAGCCAAAACACAATCAAAATATCCACCAATAGCTTAGAAGAATGAATAAATTACCACAACAAAGAATGGACAGCTGTAGTGAAAAAGACTGAATTAGAGACACATGCCCAACACAGAGACATGGGAGTTTTACAAGTGTCAAAAGCAATGATTCCGTTGTCACAAAATAAAATCTTTCGGAGAGAAGTGCACCGAGGCCAGGACAGTAGCATTTTGTATACTTTTTTACTGAGAGCTCTTTCACATACCACAGAATTCACCCTTGTGAAGTTTACGGTAAAGTAGGTTTTAGTATCCCCCCAAAATTGTGTAATCATTGCTACTATCTAATTTCAGAACCTTTTTATCAATGCAAAAAGAAACACAGTAAAAACCAGCGGTCACTTCCTGGAACTCCCTGTCTGTGTCCTGCCTCTCTGGATTCTCCTGTTCTAGACATTTCGTGTAGATGAAATCATACGGAATGTGATATTCTTGTCTGCCTTCTTTTAGCATATTTTCATGGTGGCCTTTGGTGAGATGCTGCTCACATTTGGTGAAGAAGAGGAGATGCTTCTATTTTAGAGGGACCAGAAGACCCCAAATATTAACACTTCTCAGTTTGAACCACCCAAACCCCAGGACATTCATTGAGACTGTCCACTGTTTCCTCTGCAACTCTGGTATCCTTCAAGTAGAGTCCATGGCTAGCTTTCAACACAATCTGCCTTTTAAAATCTCTTTTTAAAAATTCAATAAAGTTCCAGAATATAAAATCACACAAAAATCAATTTTCTGAATGCTACCAAACAAACACCAGTCTGAAAAAAAAGAAGTTAAGAATTAGCAATTCCACTCATAACATAAAAAGAATAAAACTTTTAGGAATAAACCTAACCAAAGGGGTGAAATACTTATACACTGAAAACTAAGGAACATTGCTGAAAGTAATTAAGATCAGACTAAATAGAAAAATATCCCGCATATATGTGCCAGAAGATGTAATATTAACATAACAATAATATTAACCACTACTCAAAGCAATCTGAAGACTGAATGTAATCCCTATCAAACTCCTAATAGCACTTTTTTTGTAGAAATAGAAGTGATCATTCCTAAATGGAGTCTCAAGAGGCCCCTGTGTTAGTCCACTTAGGTTCCTATAACAAAATACCATAGACTAGTTACCTTACAAAAATAAAAACTTACTCTGTCCCAGCTCTGGAAACTAGGAATTCGAGACAAAGGTGGCTGCAGACTCAAGGTCCAATCAGGGCCCACTTTATCCTTCACTGTTGGCAGCTTCTCACTGTGTCCTCACGTGGCATAAAGGGCACCCTTGTAATGGCAAAGCCCCTCTGACCTGATCACCTTCTAAAGGCTCCATCTCGTAATACCATAGCCTTAGGATTAGGATTTCAACTCTAATTCTGAAGTGGGGGCAGGCCCACAACCATTGCATCACCAACTCCACTGAAATAGTCTCGAAAAAGAAGAACAAAGATGAAGGGTCACTTCCTGAGATCAGAGCAACGGAAACCAAAACAAATCCCCAAAACCAATGTGGTACTGTCGTAAAACTAGACAGAAAGAAAATAAAGCCCAGACGTGAATTTCAGAATATATGTTCAGTTGACTTTTGATTAAGATATCAAAGTTATTCAATGGGGAAAGGGTGGTCTTTTCAACAGTGGTGCCAGAAAAGCTGTTGTCCCACATACAGAAGAAAGAAGTGATAATTCATATTTTATGCCATACACAAAAATAAATTTTAAATGGATCAAAGATCTTAAATGTAAGAGCTAAAACTAAAACACTTAGAAGGAAACATAAGAGGAAAGATTTGACACTAGATTTCCAATGATCCTTGAATATGACGTCAAAACCACAGATAACAAAAGGAAAAATATATAAATTAGACCACATCAAAATTCAGAACTCTGGGGCCACCCTGGGTTATATGGTGGGTTCAAGACCAGCTTGAACAACATAATCTGTCTCAAAAAACAAAAATAAAAATAAAACCCCCCTGCTCCTCAAAAGGCACCATCAACAGTAAGGCACAGTAGAATTGGTGAAAACTGGAGACCCCGGCAGTGGGCTCCAGTCTCCTGCCAGGTGTTTGGGGCACAGCAAAAAGGAAGAGCAAGAAACAAAACGGAGGTGCAGTGGGGAACCGGGTGAACGGTTGTTCACGGGATCAAAAGGCCCCGAGGCAGCCAGAACCCGGACACTTATTGATGGAGGGAAATGGTGAGAGGATTGTGGGATCAGGGAGGCGGAGGCGGTCTTATGCTAATGAGGGTCTTATGTTAATTGGGACATGGGGAGAGATGGCCGGTGACCAGGGAGTATGTCCTTTCCCCAAGGTGAAACTCTTTTCCTATTACTGCTCGGTCCTCAAGGAACCAGGATGTCTTCAGCTGATGTAATCTTGCCCTGGAAAATCACAGTATCCGGGCTTCAGCTGTGACCAGAAGAAAGCAGGGAAACTATCCGATCTGATTCAAAGGGCAGGACCAGGACTGCTTGGACTTCCCCTAGACTCAGCTTATCATCTGTGGCCCCTAGCAGAAAATGATTGCAAGTTTGTGTCTAATAAAGGGTTAAGGTCCAGAGTACAAAAACAAGTCCCACAATGATAACAGCAATTAAAAAATCCTAAGTATCCTGATTTTAAAAATAGGCAAACACACAAGGATTTAAACAAATACGTCTCTAAAGAAAATAGGCACCTGGCTGATGAGCACATGGGAAGACGTTCAATATCACAAATCATGGGAGAAATATGGAGAAATCGAAACACTTGTGCCCTTGTGGGAATGATATAGGAAATGAAACCCCAGACCTACTATGTTCAGTATGAGCTCGTGTTCTCTAAAATCGAAGAATGAATTTTAGCAACAATGGAGGTGAAGAGTAGAATATATTTATTGAGAGAAAGAAAGTTTCTGTTTGAAGAGACACAGAAGGGGGCCCGAGCAGGTTGCCCAGGACTCTGTCCTTTCCAGGGACTTTTATAGAGTGAAACTATGGGTGCAAGGTGGGGGAAGACTAGGAACTCACAAAGCAGATGGGCATAAGGTGGTACATAACTACAGTTAGCCAATAAGATCAATAGTCCAGGTAAAATTGATTACATTAGGGACAAATGGGGACGGGAGTCAAGTATGAGCAGACATTCTAGGAGCTGTGACCTTTCCCCTAGGGGGATGGGATGGTGACTCCAGGGTGAGAGGGTACCAATTAGAATATCAGTTCTTAGGATGTAGATGTAGATGCATTTGCTTGCTTCTTTGTCTTGAGACCTAGTCCACAGCAGAAGGTGTCTGTTTCCCCTGCAGTTGCCAGGTGTCTATACTGACTCCATTGAGGACCCAGCCCTGTCTCACTGCCTATAATATTTTAACTAACTCAGCTGCCTGCAACAGTAATGTTACATGGTAAAGCTGCTATGGAAAGCAGTGTTTCTTGAGAAATGAAACACAGAGTTACCATATAACTGAGCAATTCCTAACTCTACCCAGAACTTCATGAAAAATATATTGAATGTATATTCTTGAAGTGATATTGGTATACCACGTTCCCAGCAAAATTAGACACAATTGCTAAAAGGTGGAAACAGCCCAGTGTCTATGGAGAGGCACAGCAAGTGGGTAAACAGAAGTGGCATACACGTACAATGGAATATTATTCATTTCTAGAAAACAAAGAGATTCTGACAAGGCTATGGCACAGGTGAACCTTGAGGACATAAGTGAAATACTAAGGTCACAGAAAGACACACTGCTTGATGATTTCACCTATTCAGAGATTCCCTAGAGCAGTCAAAACCATAGCAACAGAAAGCTGAATGGCACCACCAGGGCCTGGAGGAAGAAGACTGGGATGTTACTGTTTGACAGTTCAGAGTTTCAGTGTCACGTAATGAAGAGTACTAGGGAATGGAGGGTACCAAGGTTATAAAACACTGGGAATACATTTATTGAACTTTACACCTACGAATAGTTACGAAGGTAAATTTTATGTTACATCTATTTCACCCTCATTAAAAACTGGGGGCCTGAGGGGGAGAAGCCACACACACCACGGTTCTTTTTGTTGCTCTCACATCAGTAGTACGACAGCCAAGGCATTGGCCGAGGCACCACATCCTGTTTGTCTAGCATTTCACTGACAAGGGTGAGAGCCATAGTGATCATGACGCCGGGGATAGCTCTCCCCACTTCACCATTGCGGTCTGTAAGTAATCCAGCTCCCAAACCCCATCCTGAGGGTCTGCCTCCTAGGACTATCCCTGCCACAAACAGTTGGATTTTGGCTTCCCAGAAAGGAGAGGCAGAAGCAGAAGCTGCTGTGCTGTTCTTTAACCAGGGAGAATAATCCCAAAGAGCGAGTGAGGGGCAGGGTGAATGAGACACAGGAAATGTGGTCATATTGGTCATATGTCCTCAGGTGCTGTTACCAAGCACGACTGATCCATTGCTCCTGAGAAGTCCTGTCCACTGTGGGTCAAGGTTGTCCATAAGAATAGAAAGAGAGGAAGATTCACCAGTGAACCCTGTTATGGCTGTGACTAGAGGTTCCCCCAGAGCTGCATGTGATCATAGGTGGGGCTTTTTCAGAGGTGGCTGGATCTAGATTGTGTGACACGGGGACTGATTCATGTTGCAGGCTCAAGGGCACTAGGGTTAAGTATGTGAGTCGTACCCACCCTGAGGACCCTGGGTAAAATATAAGGGATCCAAAGGGCTGTGGTCTTCCTCTGCTTGTTCTGTTGCACTCTGCTCTCCATGGACAGTTTTTCCTCTGTGATATCCCTCTGCTGTCCTGGGTTGGAGCCAGCCAATTATGGACCAAAACCTCTATAAACTGTAAGCCAAATAAACTTTTCCTCCCTTCACTTGTGTGTGTTGGGTATTTGGTCTCACCAACAAGAAAAGTAACTAAGACAAGCCCTTCTTTTCAACTGGCTGCGATTTCGTGCATACACTATAACACACTAGCTATACCCACTTTTCCAACCCTACTCACGTCACCCCATCCCCACTACCCCCTAGGAGTACTACTCCTCTCTTTTCAGCAAAATCCTCAGTGATTATCTGCCAAATCGCATGATCACTATTGTGTCTTCTACTGTCGCCTGGTGGGTAGGGCGATGAAGTATTTAGAGGTCTTACGGTCTGCTGCAATTCTTAGAAAATCCACCAGTGGGGAACTGGTGAGCAATCTGGAGGAGGGCTATGTAATAAAACCCACAAGTCTCTTGGGGAAACCCTGGCTGGCAAAGGCTTGTCACCATGTACACTACTGCGGCTTGAGTAATTGTTGCCAATTTACTGCAAAGCTAACTGGAATTTTCTGGTCTGTCTTGCCTACCAACCTGTGAATTCCTGGAGGGACGACAGCATTGTTCACGTCTGTCCTCTGGGAGTTGTTCTGCCCTGTCTGCAAGTCCCAAATGGGATTGGGAAACTGCAGTATGATTGGAGGTTGAGGGGGATCTGTTTTAACACTTGCAGGAAAAGCCTGGGACTTTCCTGTGGCTAAAAGGAAATCAGGAGGCTGAAGCAGCATGTTTTGTGCCAAATCAGTAGGGAAGTTTCATCTTATTTGATTCTAACTAAACCATCACAAAGGGAAATAAAGCTGCCAGAGTTATATTCTTAAACTGAGAAGAAAAAGGAAAACACACAAATAGGGGAAGGGATCCTCTTGTTAAGATAGATCAAAGTTTGAACTTAGAGCCAGGAAACCCATCTTTTGGTCCTGAGTGTCCTGAGGGAAAGGAACAATGCTCACAACAAAGGGCAGAAAGCCAGACAGACATGGGTGACGGAAGTTAAAGCAAGTGTAAAAATTGCCAGTTATTGCAAACCATCCAGTGTTCAGTGAATTTCTGTTGCTAGGACAAAATGTTTGAGGCAATCAACACACAAAGAGAAAAGCTTTATTTTGGCTCAAAGTTTTGGAGGTTTCGGTTCACAATGGCTGGGTGCACTGTGGTCAGGCCCGTGGTGCCTGAGGAAGCTGCTCACCTTCTGACAACCAGGCAGGAAGAGGAAGAGACCAGTGTCCACAGTTCCACCATGACCTGAGACCTCCCACCAAGCCACACCCCAAAAGTTTCCTCTGTGCTCCAGTGGTGTCAAGTTGAAGAGCAAGCCCTGAGTACGTGGGCTTTGGCTTTGGAGGACTCTTCCAGATCCAAATGATAGCACAGGCCAAGCATTTTGAGGATTGTTAGCAGGACCTTAGACTGGCTGTCTCTTGTGTTCCAGTGTGAGTGGAGACACATAAGGGGAGCACCATGTGATGATGGAGACGGAGCTCAGGGGACAGTGTCCACGAGTCACGAATGCCAAGAGCGGCACCAGCAACCGAAGCAGCAAGGAAAATTCTGCTCTGAG